ACGTGAAAGGGGTCCCATGCGATGAGCACCTTCGGGGTTCCGCATCTTTTAAGTTAACTTTCTGATCCAAAGTCTCCACGTGAAGTGAGCCCCACTTTTTAACGTATGTGATATGTTTTTCTTGATTTTTTTTTTTTTAACTCGTCGTATTACGTTAGAGAATTAATCCATCCCAAAAAATATAATCCACTCCCAAAAAAAAGAAGTAAAACAGGTTATGTATGTTCGGATCGGTAATATGTGAAAGTAGAGAAACTTTTTGTATGGTTCTATGAATTATGTAAATCTTAAGAAATTATGTAAATTATGACTGTGTTCTACTTTGTGTTATTATGAAGTTTATTGCTAAATTTAACCTTTTTATTATAATTTTTCGTAGTTTATCTTTAAAAAACAAATCTGAATCAAAAACCTAACTAAATAGATGGGTGAAGATGACTTTAACAATTGATATTTTACCAAATTTGCTATTGGATTTAAAATATGTTTCCATTTTTAAACGAAAATGAGAACAAAATTGAGTGCAAATCAAACCTATAGAAAAAGTAAACTTTTTACTGATCACCACACAGATTACTACCGTTGGTTAAGTAATTTTTTCTTTGGTTATTACATTTTAAAAACTAATTTGACCAACGAAATCATGGGTCTATAGTCTTTCCTTTATTCCTTATCGCCTCGATTTGATTTTGAATTGCTTTTTTGAGTTGGTTTTGTCGTATTGCAAAGGGATGTTTAAATAAGAGAGCGACACGTATCAGCCGAATTTGACATCTGCCCCTCTTCTCTTCGCATGCAGCTCACGTAGCACAACCTCTTACGTATGCCAATCACTGCAGATTCAATCTGCTAGGTACCAGAAGCGACAAAATCACAATCAAGCAAGCTATAAATAAATTTTACATCGACAAAAAAACGCTAGAAATTTAACGTATGATTACCGTTCTAACGAAAGTTGCATGTATCGGAAAATAGCTTTTAACAAACATTCACTTGCTTGATACATATATAATTGTATTTCTTTTTAAAATAAGTATAGTCTCTATAATACTTCAAAATTCCTTTCTAATTGAAGGTTAAAAATAAATGGAAAAATCTACTAAAACCCCCCGATTAAATTCCTTTTTATAGGCTACTTTAAGCCAACAAAGTGTTATTTCAACTTCAATTACAAGCCCAACAAAGCATAAACTTTATGTTTTGACCAATCCTTGACATCATTCTAATTTTTTTCTTAAGTCGAACGACAACA